TGGGAGCTGCAGCGGTGGCGTCTCTGGCCCCTCCTGTGCCGTGGGGCGCTTTGGTCTACGGGGTGCCCTGGGTGCGCGAGTGCGGACGGAGTGCGCGTGGGTGCGGGTGTCGCGAGGGTGGGGCGCGCGGGTGCGGACAGGGTGGCTGGACGCGAGGGTGCAAGCGAACGATGTACGTGGTCTCCGAGCGCTGTACTGAGCCAGGTGGGCTGGCGGCAGGCCTGCCCCGGCAGTGGGAACAGAACAGTGTGGTCGGCAGGCGGCGCCTGGGGCTTGCGCCCCCTCGGGGCTCCCAGCCACACCCTGGGTTTCAAGTCCCTTGCGCCTTGCCATCAACTTGGACTGCGCCGTCCGTTTTTCGGTCTTACACTGCCTCCTGCGCCCCAACCTCTTATTCCCTGGCCCTCTATCCTGGCTTGTCTGAAGATCCCTCTAGTTCATCTTCTTGCCTGGGGAGGGGGGGTGCTGGATCATTTGGCGAAGGCAGTACCCTCTCAAGGCACTCAGCCCAGTCAGCCAGAGGCCAGGCCCTCACCCAGGGCATCAAGGCCGCCCGCGCGCCTCGGCTGCCTGTCGCCCCCAACCCCCGACCCCGTTCTCAGGTGGGCGTCGAAGATGTAGCCACAAGCCTGCAGGTCCTTGTGGGCCCTTCCCACACACCCCATCAGGCAAGGCTTTGCGGCGTCCCCGGCCCTGCAGGGCCGGTCTCAGTTAAAGCCTGATTGAGTCTAGGGCGACCAGTGGATGAGTTTGATAGGCGGTTAGCACTGCAGGCTTCGTGGCTGGTTACAGCCCTAACCTCTCGCGTGCTGGGAGGATGTCTACCAGCCTGGGTAAGCGGTCTGACTTTGCTGATGGGGAAAGAGGAGGTAAGGAAGGGGAATGACTTCATGCCCATTGCGCTGAACTCTCACCAGCTCTTCTCTCCTAGTCCAGCCCTTATCTCCATGTCCATTTGTATGTTCGTTTGCAGACTTAAAAGGGTTTGAGGGGTTTTTGTTGCTTGGAGGAAAAACAAACAAAAGCAAGGACGTCTCCCTCAACTTCCCACTTGGATCCAAGCTCATAGTAATCTGTATAGAGCCCTTTACACATCATTTCCTGTTCTTGACTAGGTTGGCCTCATACATCTCTCACAACCGCGGGTGCTGTTTGCTTATCAGTAGTCCACTTGTCACCTCGAGGAATCCACTCCTCAGAGAATAACTTTTACCATAAATCAGAAGTTCGAAATCATTGGTGTCTCTTCTTGTGTTGTTGGTAGGAGCCCCAGGCTTTACAAGGAAAGGTTCTGTAAAGGTTTCTTTGCCAGGCAAGGAATATGGGCAAGCAGGCAGCAATTCCCAGCACCCTGTGGGCTCACTCCCTCAGTTTACTCTTCTGCAAAGGAAGACTGCTAGGTTCAGGATGGTGGAAGCCCCTCAGAGCTCACACTGGGGGCTTCATCCCAGGGAAGTGGAAGTGCTCTCTTTCAAGGAGAGCTCCCTTTTTGCTATGAGCCTTTGGAGCCAGTTAAGCTTATGCAGGCCCCATTCCCTCTGCCCCTTCTTTGAGTCACTGTATGTCCCCCACCTTTAGAGAGAAGGAGGGGAAAATTCTGGAATGAGCTAGAGGAAGGAGGGAGGGTGAGCTGGCTCATCGCTCTCTTCTGGACTTTCCCTCTCTCTCAGTGAAAATCCCACCCAATTATAGCATTACTGGAGGAACCTGGGCTTGTTTGTGGGAGCGGGGTGGGGGCCAAGCCCCAGGCACTCCCGCCCCTGCCTCCCCAGCTGTGGGGCCTGAGGATTAGTGCCTGTACAGGGAGCCCCAAGAGGGCTGCTGACTCTGCATACAAAGGAGGGGTGGCTGTGCCCACCGGAGGATGAAGGAACCCGAAAAACGGAGCAGGTGTGTCTTCTCCTTCCTGCCTTTCCAAGCCCAGTTGAAGACCTTCCACCTGCGAAGTCTCGGCATTGCTGCTTGCTTCTCTTCACAGGCTTACCTCCAGGCCCCCTCCCCCTGACCTAGACAGCGATGGGGTGGTGAGCAGGTGGGCGAGGCTGTGAGCCCTGGACACACTGAGAACAGATAGTCTCTTCATTCTGCAGATGATAAAAGGGAGAAACAGAGCTGAAGGGCTCATGCTTGGTGGGGCGCGAGAGCCCCCAGGCACCATGCCACTCCCAAGGGAGGGCACCCTATGCCAGGGAACCCACTGCAGAGCAAGGTCGCCTCTTGTCTTCAGGGTAATCTTGCAGTGGCAGAGAAAGCAGACAAGAAAGAGGAGGCTTCATGATGGTGCTGGGCTAGCGTCCAAAACCACCTCTGTACACAATTTATCAAGCCCCTTCCTGCCTACTGGGCACTATGCGAAGTGCTAGTCACCCCTTGCAGTCTTTATGCAAACCTTGGACTCCTGACCAGCTCAGTGTGAAGGTGGCAGGGGCAGAGTGGCATTCAGAGAGAAGGCGGCAGGCTGCAGTGAAACAGGCCCTCAGAAAGAAAAGTGGCAGAGCTGTCAGCCCCTAGGAACCTAGAGGCAAGCGTACAGTGAGGGATCTGCTGGGTATAGGGGTCCTGCCTCCTCTTTCTGGATACCACATATGTCACAGAGAGTTTGACAAGGAAATGGAAACCACTATGCTTGAGGTAGAGTTCCTCCTGCCCATTCCTCGCCCCCCAAAACCCAGAGTTGAAGGTGGAGGCCTGATGACAGTCAGTCAGTGAAGGTCAGTGCCCAGATGACATAAAGGAACTCAGGAGAGGGATGTTTCTTTTCTGAATGTGTGAGATTCATCCTCATCTCCCCAGCTTAAAAGTCTGTACCTTGCCTTTAGGATACAAATGTAATAGCTCGTCTCCTCTCTTTACCTGAACTGACATTGGCGTGGCTCTATCAGGCTACGGCCCACGTTCTGCTGCTCCTTCCCGGGAGCTTGGGCTGGCCCCTGCACCACAGCCTGAGGTACAGATCACAGGGCCACTTCTGCCCGCCTTGCTGCAGGGTGAATATACTGTCCTCAAGGCTCTTTCCATCTGCCAAACAGCCGACGGAACACCTCTCACCAATGCCAGTTACAGTGAGGTTGGTGTGGCCAGCAGAGAAAGCAAGGACTGTCTGATGGCAGGGCCATGGTGATGGATGTAATCTGAGAAGGCCTGAAGGAGCTGTTGGCTGACTCTTGAGCTGAGCTTTTCCTGAAAAAAATTATCCATTTATTGATGCCCCTGGAGGGGCTGTGGAGGAAGGAAGAAGGTTTTGCCTTACCTGGAGCTGCAGAGAGATGGTCCCTTCTAGCAGTGAAAGAACGTGTCACTACAGGGGCTGTGGAGGTGTCTGCTCAGGGGTGACCCCTCTTCCAGCAAGGGGCAGCTTGGGTTGATTTGCTCTCTGAAGCTGTGGGTGTTTAGATGGTGCCTGGCAGGTGTCATGTGGGGGTTGTGCTGGTAAGGAGGAGGTAAGGAGTAAGGAGGAGTAAGGAGGAGGCACTTAAATATATATATATATAATATCTATCTCCTTCCTTTCTCCCCTTTGAGCAAAAAAGGACACTGGGATGCTGGGAGGAAGGAGAGTGGTCTGGCTAGAGAGAATTTTGAGGACTGGAGTTGGGGGCTTCTGGGCAATGAGACTGGTGAGTGGTCAGAGGGCCATGAGAGCTACGTGATTCAGTCCAGAAATTCCTTGTCGAAGTCTGTCTGCGTGTGTGTGTGAGTGCGCAGGCACGCACATGTGTGTACGAGACATAGATCAAGAGCAATCATACAGAACACAATATATGAATGATTGCATAAAATAAAAGTTACATGAATGAAACATAATGTATATGAATGACTATGCAAGACAATAAAAAACTGAAAAAAAGAAAAAATAGGTATATTATATACTGAGGGTAGAGAAACAAGTAAGTAAATACAAATCCTTTATAGATGGCCTCATGGCAAGAAGTTGCGCTGCAATCCCATAGACACAAGGTTCAAATCCACCAGCTGTCTGTGGGAGAAGGATGGGCCGTCTCCACCCATGTGATTAACTAACAAACAGCCTCTGAAAACCCACTGGCGGGTCAGCTATGGATTGGTTCAGACTCAGTGGTACATAACAACATATATAAATAAAACAATTTGGCCCAAACAGCTTGGTAGCAACCAGTTACTTATATCCTAACATTTTAGTAGTTATTTGAAAAAATAATTCACCTATGAGGAGTGACAACACAAAAGCAAGCTTTCTTATGATCTGAGTCCAGAATGAAGGCTGCATAGTAGAGTGGACTTGGGGGGAGGGACTGAATAACAATGAAAAATTTTTTTCTTTTTTCAAAAAGAAAAGCGAATTGGGGGGTGTTGAACTGTTGATCATTCAATTAGCAATTTCAGTTGCTCTTGCGTGACCACTGTACCACCATAGGCTCCTTTTCATCTCAAGTAACAGCTAAAACCCCGCCTCACAAAAGTAACTTTCTTACTGACTGCCATTGAGTTGGGACTGACTCATCGCTGACCCTTCAGCAGATTTTCAGAGGCTGTAAATGACACAGGAGAAAGTTGCCCACATTTTTTCTGCAGAGCCCTTGGCAGAGTCAAACCTCCAAAGAGGCGCCACCTTGAGGTTAACAGCCCAACTTTCTAACCACTAGGCCACCAGGGCTCACTTTCACACAAGCAAGGATAGCTTTAAAATAATTGTTTCGTATGTACATGTTTGTTCATAGCAGCATTATTCACAATAGCAAGAAAATGGAAAATGGAAACTGATCAAATGTCCATCAACAAACAAATGCATTGTGAAATTGTGGTGCTTTCACATACTATCAGCACTGAGGGGCAATGATAACGTGAGAGAATCTAGAAAGCGTTATGCTGAGTGAACTTGTCTCATAAGGACAAATAGTACATTATATGACCATCATTATAAAAATGGAAGGATAACTAGTAAGGTGCTAGATAAAAGTCCAAAAGGGGAAGGAGAGGCAGACAGAGAGGTGGAGTGTTGGGGGTTGGGGAGAAGATTGGAAATCACTAGAATAACAGAATTTGGTCAGTGGAGTAGGGGGAGTGATGGAATTAGGGAAGATCCATTGGGGACGTGAAAAGATGGGATAATAGTAAGCATAGATGAATGGTAATTATTTTAAAAAATTTTTGCAGATCCCCCCCTTTCTTTATGTTTCATGTTCCTGCCAGATCTGTCCCATTGCCTTCACCCCCTCCCTCCACCCTCCAAGTTGTGCAACCCTGTGATCTTGCCGCTACCCATCCTCACCCCGCTGTTACTACCCCTTCCCCCTTGGTTCTCCATACATGATTTACTTGTTATTCTTCTGTTTTTATAATTGTCTTATGCAGTATTTGTCCTTACGAGACTTTGGAGGGAAAGACTAATAATCCAATTACAAAATGGGCAAAAGACATGGAAAGACTTTTCACATAGGAATATATCTGGATGGCCAACAGACACATGAAGAAAAGCTCCAAATCACTGGCAATAAGACAGATGCAAATCAAAACTATAATGAGATACTATCTCAAGCTAGTAACAGTGGCAAAGTTTAGTAGGGCAGCTAGCAATAAATGTTGGAGAGGGTGTGGAGAGGCAGTGACTCTCATGCACTGTTGGTGGGATTGTAAGATGGTTCAACCACTCTGGAAAGCAGTTTGGCATTTCCGCAAAAAGCTGAACATAGATACTCCGTGTGACCCAGCTATTCCACTACTAGGAATACACCCCAAGGAAATTAGAACGGAGACACAAACAGAGACTTGTACACTAATGTTCATAGCAGTGTATTCGCCATCACAAGAACATGGAAACAGCTCAAGTGTCCAACCACAACTGAATGGATTGATAAACGGTAATTAATTTTATAAAACACACCATATGGGAATGATAGTATGAAACACAATGTGAATGAAGGAAGGTGTGAAACACAATGTACATGAAGGATACACAATGTATATGAATTTTGTATGCAAGCCAATATAAAATTGAAAACATTTTTAAAACAATGACTATTCTGGGACCAAATTTGGAATCTGAATTCCCTCCAACTCATAGGTGTCTGACAGGATGTACAGTGCTGTGCCCACTTTGAACATTTCAAGTATTCTGCACAACCCCCATGAGTTTGCTGTGGCTCCTGGGGCAGCGCTCCAGGGTAAGCCCACAAGGTGCAGCCAGGGAAATGTGTACGTGCATGTACGTGGCACACGAGCTTGGTGCAATGGGCCACTCTTTCTGACCTGTGTCTGCTCTGCCTGGCTCTTGACACGTATTTCACTGTCTACGTGATCAGTGGAGTGCTCTCTCTGCTCCTTCTTGCTGGGGGCCACTTAGTGGCTAGCACAGGCCAGTCAGGGTCAAGTTCTTTGTAAATACATGGTTGAGTCAGAAACAACTCCTAGCTAACCTTCCAGTGGGTTTTCAGAGGCTATAAACCCCATTTGCACAGGAGGACATTGCGCATCTTTCTCCTGCAGGGCAGCTGTTGGGTTTGAACTGGCTTTCTTTGGGTTGACAGCTCAACTCCTTATTTATTAGGCAACCAGAGCAAGGACATGAGTATTGGTCATAATTTGTCAGGTTAGGGAACAGACAGAGAGCTTGGACTGGTTCAGGTGGTAGAACCAGGGCTGTGTGATTCTGTTGGCTATGCGAGGGAGGTCATGTGGTTTTCATCATATGATGCTTTTGTGTAATTCATATATTTGGGTTTCTGCCTACTCCATCTTTTCCCTCTTTCCAGTTCCTACCACAGGGAGCTCCAGTGGCCAACTGGTTAAAGAGTTGTGCCACCAACCCAAAAGTTGTTGTTATGTGCCATCGAGTTACCTGCGACTCATAGCGACACTATTACAACAGCCCTAAACCCTGCCCTATCCTGTGCCAATCTCACTGTCTCTGACACACCTACCCCAATTACCCCAGTCACTGAATCAATCCTCGTCATAGAGGGTCTTCATATCCTGCGTTTATCCCCCCACCCTCCAAAGCATGACGTCCCTCCGTAAGGGCCAGTCCTTCCTTTCAACATGTCCAAACTATGTTAGATGGAGCCTCAGAATTCTTGCCTCCAAGGAGCAGCCTAGTTTAACCTTCTCCAGGATGAACCTGTTTGTTTTCTTAGCAATCCATGGTATATTCAATACTCTTCTCCAACACCACAGCTCAAAGGCATCAATTCTCCTTCTATCCTTCTTAATCATTGTCCCCCTCTCTGATGCATAGCAAGTGATTGCAAAGACAATAACTGTTTCAAGTGCACCTTAGTCTCCAGGGAGACACCATTGCTCTTTAGTACTTTGAAGAGGTCCCTAACAGGTGACTTTCCCATCACAATACATCTTTTAATTTCCTGGCTGCTGGTGCCAAGACTATTGACTGTGGAGCCAAGCAAACTAAAGCTGTTAACAATCTCAATCTCTTCACCATCCATCCTGATATTGCCAATTGGTCCAGTGGTGAGAATCTTTGTCTTCTTGATATTGAGCTTCAATCCATATTGAAAGCTGCAGACCTTGACCCTCTGCAGCAAGCGCTTCAGGTCCTCCTCAGTTTCAGCAAGCAGGGTTGTGTCATCTGCATAACACAGATTGTTAATATATCTTCCACCAATCCTGACGCCACACTTCTCCTCATAGAGCCCAGCCTCTCGGATAATCTGTTCTGCATACAGGTTGAAAAGGTATGGAGACAGGACACATCCCTGCCCTATACTCTTCTCAATTTTGTAAACAGTTTTAATCCACCAGCTGCTCTACAGGAGAAAGATGGGTAATCTCCTGAATGATTTACAGTCTGAAAACCCCCTCGAATGGCCAGTTACATGTTGGTTCCTACTTGATGGCATACAGTTGCTACCATAGCCTTTGTTCAGACTGTCAGCCTAGACTTCTGGCTTGTCCTCTCTTCTTGGCTGAACCAATACATTCCAGTGTCATGGTTCTTTCCTCTCAGTGGAGTCCCTTCCTACCAGTCCACAGACATCATCCTGCAACCCTGTGCTGACCTATCTCAGATTGTTCTTGTTCTAGATCTAATCTGGGACGTGAGTATTTGGTCCTAATAAGTCCAGATTTC